TAGCGTGTACTTTCTGTCCACAGGAAAACTGTGAGTAACCATTTGAAACAATGGCAGATATACTGCCATTATATATGGATATCCATTTTCGATTGGATCAGATTGGCTACTGTGATTGTTAATGTTAAGAAAACAGAGGAAAGCTCACTGGAAGCATCTTGGCAGCTGGGTCTCAGGCAGTAGGTTGAGTTGTCTACAAATCAAAGATTTGACTTGTCATAAAGTGCAGTTTGCAGATGTACATACAGACTTCTTAGACCAAGACAACAGGGACACAGGAAGTAAAATTAGGCTCTAAATAGACATGGGAGGTAATCGGGGAGAGTGGAAACAACCTGTTAACAGAGCACAGAAGAAACTAATTAAGATAATAACTGAAAACTACTGACAAGGCACCAGAAATAGAGGACTAACAAAATAAAACAGGAAGTAAAAGCAAGACACCCTAACAAGATGCTAGAGAGAATAAAACTCCCCAAAATAACATTAAAACCGACAGATCGTGACATGATGGTAAACGTAGCTATCAAGTCAGCACAGAAAGGAACACTCAAGGTTTGTTGGTCACTGATTTACTAGTTTGAGGTAAAAATAAGGGGGGAGCAATTTATTGTTACCTGCTGACAATTCCTGACATGACCCAAACCACCAAAACACTTGAGATTTCCCTCTGGGCAAAGCTGGAAGAGGATGCAGTGAACCACGCAAAAGAGACGTAGAGCAGCAAGATAGAAAACTGATAAAAATATAAGCTAGTTTGTTTTCATTACTTGTGCCACACATACTATACTATTTACCAAAGACATTAGCATCCCTATAAATACCATTTTAATTAAAATGTACACCAGAATAAAGAGCGTCAAGTATTAGAAAAACATTAACATGTAAACTTGTTAGTGTGACAAAAATAAAACCTAAGAAATCAGGAAGGGAGCACTGTAAATTTAACTAAACATCCTAGCTGTGTTTACTTTGACAGGAGCGCTCTGGTTGTACCTGGTGAAAATAAAATGAACATCATGCAGGGAGCAGAGCAGCAGCAGCAGCTTCTGTGATACCCATATTAATGTCCTCGCTGCTGTGCACCCACTGCTCAGGGCAGCTCGTGAGAGGGTGGATAATTTATATCAGATGTCAGGAATGACTCGGGCACACTGAGGTATATCAACATGCTCTTACTATAGGTGTGGATTAGCAGGCGCCTGCTGATAAAAGCATTTGCATGTAACAGATTTTATTACATACATTATGCCGCCATACGATGTATCCACTTTTTACTGTGCTGTATCTTTAACATGTAAAGATGCCAGTCTCAGCTCTGGCAGCCCTGTAACGGTGTGAAATGTATTCTTATGTTCAGCCCTTGTGGAGCAAAACATCGGGAAGGAGAGCATGATTTTAAGAGAATACGTTTTAGTGATCTAGCTGCTCTCGCTTACAGCACTGAAACTGGAAATCCATTATCATTCAGAGTGTGAGATTTTACATTCAGACACCCTCGTTCTTCTTTCTGTGTCACTGCCTCGTGTATGCACACACACACTGTGAAGTTTACACCACTTAGGTATTGGCTGCTTGAGCTGAATCACACTCACGAGTGCACAGATGGGTAACAAAGGAGGGAACCAGCCGTGGACAACACAGACTGCATAAATCAATGAATCCTCTGCCGGAAGACACAACCGCTGCCTCTCTGCTTCCCTCGCTTTTAATACCAAATCCTGTCTCGTTGTTTAAACTGGTCACAGTCATTATTCATCGTATCTCACAGCCACTAAAGTGGACTGAGAGGATTCCTTTCAGAATGAGATTAGCCCTGTTCTTCCTCAATCTGTTTTCCTATCCATCTTTGTTTTCCTCATTGTGAGGTGTTTACTGCAGCTGTCCTAGTTTTCGCTGTCAATTTAGTACAAAGAGGGATACTCTACGTACACTGCGAGGTGCAACGCTGTATAATTTAATCACAGTTCCCTATATTCCTTTTCCAGTTCGCTCACTCTCAGTGTCGAGTCCTCGAGCTCCGTGCATGGCAGAGCACAGAATACACATCGAATTAAATCCCTCAAAAGAAACTCAGCAGGCGCCACTGGTATTGCTCTGCTTTATTAAACATTAACAGTTTTTCTCCATGTGGTGATATCAGCATGTCAAGGGAACAAATCCTACTGTTTGACCACTGTCAACTTTCCAAAACCCTGACTTTGTTTTATTTTAGCCAGGAATACATTTTCAAGCTGTGAACTGCAAACTGGCCTCTCGGTGTGATGACACTACATTATCACCTGAAGCTCATACTCCCACCAGCATGCCCTTGAGTCCAGCTCCCGAGCTGTCACTTTTTTGCTGACCCTGTGTTCTGACTACTCTACATGCAGGCAGACATTTGAAAAACAAAAAGGTTAAATTAGGCTTTAACAGAACAAATGATCACAAATGGACAGGAAAACAATAATTAACTTTATCTGCTACAGTCCAAAATGAAACCAGATGAATATAAATATGGAAAAGAGCAATAGCTATCTTTTATTTAATATTGCTGTTAGTGATTCTTTACATTCTACAGTTTTAAAAATATGTAGCCTATAAACGAACTCATTTTAAAAATATATATATATATTTCTACAGTTAAAATGTATCCATTTGGCATGAATTAGATTCATTTACACAAATACAGGTAAGAGTGAAAGTGGCGACTTAGCTTCAGGTACTCAAAGTAGGTCTATGTATACTAATCAGTTTGTTTTTCTGCACTTTGCATTGTTGGTTAGTAGAAATAATTTGAAAAGGTGAATAGCTTTTCATGTTGTAATTCTGTAATAATAAATGCAATACAAACAATGCTACAAAAACTTTGCATGTCAATAATAAAGTGTTACTCTAATGAAATGCAAAGTATTAGATACTCAGAAATTACTGCAGAGTCGTGTATTATATTACAGCATTACATCATTACAAAATATTATTTACATCCTCTTAGTAATATTGATAAGCTGATTTATACTTAATATTCGGCTTCACCTTTATTATAAAGCTTATGCAGATGTTTTATTGTGTAATAATCACTCAAAAACAGCAACCTTTATTATCACACATTCTTTTTGAGTCACTGTATTCTATTTTAAACCATTCTGCTCCGCTCTAATAACCCTGTTCCACCAGTGCCAGCACTCAATCTACAGCCGATTTCATGCATTTCCACTCAAAAAAGACTGGTAGCTGTGATAAAAAAGCTTGTAACATCAAGGCGACACCAAACTGCCAGACCCAACCGCTCACAGTTACTCTGGGAAAGACTACCATAAGAAATTTACCAATGATTGGCACATGCACCACATAGTAACACTACATAACAACTAGTATTAAAAACTAGCAAAAATGTGGGTTGTTTGTCAAAAGGCAGCAAAGCAAAACTGGCTTTGCAGCATTAGTGGATAGAAGGTGCAACAATTAGCCTAAAATAAAACAGTCAAACAAAAAATGGAAGAAATTTCTTATCTTGCCCAAAATAAAATGAATCAATAAATGTGTCATTAATGTTAATCTTTTCCTTTCATCAACCTTTTCATGAGAGAATAGAGATAAAGCTCTGCACTCGTTTTAAATGTTTACAGGTTTTTTTTTGTTTTTACCAGCAAATGTGCTACTTTTAAATTCCACTACACCACTTTTCAGGATACACTGTATGTCATATGAGCTTTTATCATGTTATTTTACACTTTTCTGTTTCCACTGTGAATGGAGACACTCATAAAAATAACATTATTGGCATTGGTGCCTTAGAGAGTAGAGGAATTGTTTCTCAGCTGCAGTGTCAGCAGTTTGAGCCCTGGTCCTGGCCTCTGTGGTTATTGACTTCCTGTAATTTCCGGCATTTAATCACCCCCCCTGGATAAACCACCAAAGTAATCAACAGTATATTTACCTTACAAATTCTTACTTTAATCCATTTTCTCACATAAGTGCATAAAGGTCGTGTGCAGAAGTGGTTCTGCTAGCTTCCTGACAACATTTATTTCATAGACTTAATCAACCTAGGTGCAGCCGAATTGATAGCTAAGCTGTTTACCCTCGAGGAAAATAGCCGCTCCCCCTCTTTGTGTTTCCCTCTTTTGAAATCCAATTGTCATAAATCGATGTCTGCCTTTAAAGAAACACAGAGAGAAAGTAGTGGAGCTTGGTAATGGCTTGGTTCTGAGTGGCTGCAGATCTAGGCCTGGCTGCCACAGCTAATTCAGTCTGTTTACTCCAGTGCTAATGCCTTTATTATTTTTGTCAGGATATCTGAAAAATGACAACTGCTGAGTTACTGGATGATATATACAAAAGAAAAACACAATCACAGAGAACATTTTCCCCATCGTTCAACTTTGTGCTAAGGGTTTACAAGAAAAGGAAATAACCTGGTGCCACTCAATCAGATCATTTAAAGGATGAATTGCCTCTGAATGTTACATCATTATATTCTGTTTGCTGTAGCTATAGTATGCAGTCTAACCCCAGACTGCTGATCTTTACATTAAATGCACCATGTGACCACAGAGGGAGTAACCACTGACAATACAGCAAAAAATGTCATTTTTCCCTGACTAGCTGTAATTGAATCTACATATCTGACAACTCTGCATATCAGCCTTCAATTATTCTCAACCCCTGCCAGAGGCAACCTGTACACAATTTAATGAAGCTTAATAGAATCTAAGGGGCCTGTGTAGTCTCAAAATCTTTCTCTCATTAAGCTAACGATCCAGAGAGAGGAAGAAGGCTGAAGTAAGCTAATTTGTCACAGAGAAGGAGTATAACCTTATTTCACTACCACAAGATCTCCCATTGATGTGCACCCATAATTGCTTTGTGAAAGAGCATAATCCCCACATTAATTTCACCTCCATTTTCCCATTAACAGGGTTCTGTGACCATCCAAATGATGCTTTTGTGACTTTGTGCGTCTGTTATCAAGCATTTCCTACATAAATATGTATGTTTTTCTTTCCATTTCACAGAGCCGTGCTCGTGGAGAACATCCCAGAAGACATTTCCTTCTTAAACAACAGCACGTCCCACCTCCCCCTCTCCATAGGGCTGTACAACCTACTGAATCAAGCTATCCGGGTCGTAGAGATAGTTTCCCCACAGTGGCTCCTTAACTCCTCTGATAATGAATCCAGTTTCCAGCCTGCTGCCCGACAGGTAAAAATAGAGCAAATCAACAGGGACTTAATTCTGCAAGAGTAGTATTTACATTTTATGCCTGTGACGTTTTCTCTGTCTGTTTTTCTCTGTGTTACTCTGTATAAACTGGTGAAAGACAAAGTTGGTTCCTTAAAAACATTAAAGGTTCAATAAAATCAAGATCCTGATTTTAAACCTCATAAGTAAAAGGACATTTACACAGAGAAAAATGCTACTGTAAATTATATGTTATCCAAATGTGATAACATCAGATTTTATGCTTATAAGGTTTGATCAGCGAGCTTATTTTTACTACTTTACATGTACTCAGTCAGTTACATTTTTAAATTTAAGCAGATGACTGTGTTTATAATCTTGTGGGTTATTGAATAATTTGACTCTTCGGCCTTTTAAACACTTGCATTGCTAAATACATTTACTGGATACATTTTCTTTAAATAGAAATATTCTTTCAGAAAACAAGATGATTACAAAGAAATGTTTTTTAATATTTTTCTGTGCTTTTTGTAAAACAGAATTTGATATTCAAGTATAACAACAATAATTATATTTTAGCATTAAAAATATCATTTTGATTAAAGAGATTGTGCTTACTGATAGATTAACAAAATGTCCTAAACATGACATGTAAAGGGTGTCAACCAAAAAACTTGGTTGATGACAGAATATATCTTTATTATTAAACATTGTATTTGTTCTCTGTGCAACATTTATTTAAATTTATGGGCTTTAATCTATGTTTGTGCATCTTCCAGAAATGTTACTGATGTTATTTTGCTTTTTATCCAACTCCCATTACTCCTAGTGTCACTCTGTGTTTATGCCGTTGGTGCTAATCAGCTGCTCTGATGCTCTGTTCTGTGAATCATCCTGTTGAACTGGAAGTGTAGCTTTTTGTTATGTACATCCATCCATGTTCCTAACCACTTTTCCAGTTCAGGTTATAAGGCTACAACGTATCCCCACTGACACTGGGTGAGAGGTGGGAGTACCAGTCCAACACAGGGCTGACACACACAGGCAAACACATCTTATTTAGAATCACTACTTAACCTAGCATCAGCCATGTGTTTGGACTGTTACAGGAAGTGTGTTTGATAAACATTTACAAGTAAAACAGTAAATGAAATCATGAAAAAATACAAAATTTCCTGCTGATAATTACACATTCATATTGGACTGGATGAATGTTATTGACCATCGTGTGTGCGTGTGCGTGTGTGTGTGTGTGTGTGTGTACAGCCTGGCAAAACACACAGTTCATGGTTCACACGGTTTATAAAAATTGAATATGTCAGAATTAATGAAACCCTGAGGCTGATGGTCAGAAACTAATTGCACCTTTCATTCCCCTCAGGCCAGAGAGGAGCTAATGCTCTTTCAGTCTGCACCAACCTAAAAATTTTACAACATGTTAAATTAAAAATGTAACATGCTGTATATGAAATTTAAAATGTAATGTTCTGTGAAAGGGAAAGCTTCACTGCATGCAGGTGGAAGTGCTCTGCTTTCTTCTTCAAATTGTGAACATCTGTGTGGCTACAACAGACATAAAGCTAATAATCCTGGAGACACAGTGTGGGTATTTACAAACCACTGAAAAGAATATCTGTCAGTCCTGCAAACAGGGTGGGACCCAATAGCTTATAGATTTTGAGTTAGAAAGCATTCTGTACCTGGATCCTTGGTTTGTCTCCCGTCTGTCTGGTCCGTTTGATTATATTAGTACATATTTCCTGTCTATCTACAATGCACTAAATCCCAGAAATAAAGTTAAGTCAAAAGAAATAGATTTTTAAGAGCCATCTATTAATTTTCTTCCCCTTATCCAATTCAAGGTTGCGGTTGGGGGGTTGCATTTGGACCAGTCTGTTGCAGGGGTGACATAGACAACCATAGAATCACTTATCTGTCTGACCCTGTGGGGTGGTGGTTAGCAGTGTTGCTAACAACAGCAAAAAGTTTTCACCAGCCAGCAGAGGCCTTTCTGTGTGGAGTTTGAATATCCTCTCCAGGTTTACTCCCACAGTCCAAAAATATGCATGGGGTTAGGTTACTTTTTAAAAACAATCCTGAAAATTTGAAAATATTGCATTTATCTACCTTTTTCCACTACACTCTTGGCATACATCTTTAAATCTCTGTGTCAGTATAGTGGCACGAGGTCACTTACACATTACAAGAGCTACTCGGCAAACAGAGCCAATGTCATGAAGCTCCCAGTGCACAGTATTTTTGCTGATGTTAATGCCAAAGTAGGTTAGGAACTCTGCAGTTATTGAGTCAGCAGAGCACTGGTGACTTTTAAACCCTACGCACCACCGATTTAACTTTACTTAGTGCCCCATTTTATGGCTCTGCTGTGTTGTTCCTAAATACTTCCACTTTGCAATAATATCACTTACAGTTGATTGCAAATTATATGGCAGAGAAGAAATTTCACAGACTGATTTGCTGCAATTGTAGCACCCTATTATCAGTATCATACTTGAATTCAGTGAGCTCTTTAGGATAAACACATTTTTAAAAATGTTTCTAAGGCACACTGTGTTTCTGAGAAGACCTGAATTCAAAGATTGAGAGGTGTGGCCCAATAATTTTGTCCATATAGTGTGATATGGAACATATATTTTCTAGTAAAAATGTGAACTTCCCAAACTCAAACTGATAAAGACACCATTGAAAGGACTGAAAATAATCCTCTGGAGCCATAGAAGGTGTTATAATGTTGTTTTTAAAGCCTGAGCAGTACTCGATGTAATGCATTAACAGGGCTTAAAGTGTAAAATCAAATATGTCTCATTTAAATTGTAAAACACAGTTTCAGTACATCGTGAAATAACAACTTCCCTAGTGTGCATCAGGATCTGGGTGTTGAAATGGAGCCAAATTGACCAAATTTGCATCTCAACTGCAGCTTTTAGCTGTTTTTTAAAATGGTCCTGTCTTCATTTGTGTCCTGTAATGTGTGTTCAGTGATCACTAAAGAGAAACTAATGAAGGATGAGTAATTTTCCTTGTATCACTAAAGGTACTTAATGAAAGGAGTCACTCACAGTATCTTGTACTCTGGGTGGATTTCAGGTCGGTTTTATGAAGGAAAACTTAATGAAACTGGAAATGAATCTTCATATCAAGTGAAAGATATTGTTAGTTTGCTTGTTTCTAAATGACATGAGATGAATGCATGTAAACTATGTCAAACAGGTTGCTTTTTATTTTGTGTTACAGCAGTAACATGCATCGTTTGTGGGTTTGTAAAATTTGTGCTTCTAAATATGCCCAGAAGGTTACATGTTTTTGGATAGTTACAGTGATCAGAGGTAGTCATCACTGGAAAACCATAAGAGGCATATAAATAAGACTCCAAAAGAAAAATAGAGATTACAGTAGCTGCCTGCAGACGAGTGCTTTGAAAAAAAATGAATGGGACAAAAATAGCACATTTATCACTTATGATAGTACTTGAATGTGAAAAATGTAAGCACTTAGTCTGAACTCTCTGTATCTGATTATACTGCATGGATTTCATGTAACAGTCTTGCTTTGCTGGTTTGTTTCCTCTAGGGCAGGGCTCTGCTGTCCAGCCTGCAGGGACTGAAAGCAAGAGGAATTCAGCTGAAGATCTCATCTGGAATAGCTAACTCAACTGAGCTCACTAAACTCAGTAATCACACCTAGCTCTTACTTTCATTGCTTTATATGTTATGACATAAGATGTTATGTTGTAATTAGATCTGACTGTTCAGCCCTTTGCTCCCCTGGTCACGTTTTCAGTCTTTCAGTCTCTCACCATCTTTCCTATCCCCTGTCTTTATTGGTATGGCTTTTGGCAGATTTGTCTTTATCCTCCTCCATGTCTCACATGTAACTCCCTTTTCTCTCCATTTCTAGATGCTGAGGTTCACTATATTAACATGACAGCTCTGACCAAAGGCAACCTTCACTCCTCCTTCTGGGTGGTCGACAGGAAACATTTCTACATCGGCAGTGCCAGCATGGACTGGAGATCTCTGGCCACCGTACTGCCACCATACTTTACAATACCCACAGAAAAACTTACAGAGACTTTGGAGAAAAATCAACCAAATTTTACTTCTGTTATTTCTGAGGCAGGATAGTAACACAAATTATCGAAATTTGGTATCGTTAATGTAAAGTTCTCGTAATGATCTACTGGATCAAACTTTACATTATGCAAGGTATGAGCCAGTATAGCTTAAAAACAGCATTATTGATGAAACAAGAATATTCAGATTTAATGTATTTGTAGAGTGCTGTGCAAATATTATAAGCACCAAGAGGGAAGCTGGAATGTTTTTTAATGATTACACAAATAGTTTTATTCGTCTAACTTTACACAAATTCATTCTGTTCAATTTTATTTATATTGCATCGACTCACGCCACCAGTTGCCTCAATGCAGGAATTAGAAAGAAATACTGAATCATACCAACATTTAGTGTGAAAACACCTAAAACATTTTGAAAGTGCTGTATATACACTCACCAGGCACTTCATTATGTACACTTTCTTAACTGTTTGTTACTGCAAATATCTAATCAGCCAATCACATGGCAGCTACCCAGTGCATTTAGGCATGTAGATAAGAGCAAGACAAGAATAAGAGGAATGAAGAATCCTTCCACAGTCTTGCTGAATCTGTGCCACATAGAACTAAAGCAACTGTTGAAGGCAAAAGGGGGTTCAACTATATCTGTGTAGATGTTTCTGTAGGTCCAAATGTTACTAGCAAAGTTTACCTAACAGAGTGTCTGCTGGTTGTACCTCAGGGGGGATAAAGCGTAAATTTGAATGTGGTGAGGTGACATGCTAAGATTTTCTGATATTCATTCAGTGTTCATATTAAACAATAGTTAGCACACAGTCAGTTTATATCTGTGTATATGTTTTTGTGAGCGCAGGAGGTGGCGTCCAAAAATAGAGAATCCAGAATCTTTCATCTCTTTTTCAAAGGTAGACAGCTCATTAAAGTGTGAGACCGTTTGTTAGTGAGGGCCTTAATTTAGGAAGATGAACTGCAAGGAGCACAAGGTAACTATTCAAAAGTATTTGTCAGTTCAGCATGTTTTATGCATTCTCAGCCAGGCTTATATTGATGCTACATTGTATTTAAATTAGACCACAAAACAAACAGACTGGCATTATTCTTTTCCTTCCTTCTTTCTGTAGATATCTATGAAAATAGGTTATGGACTAGATTTTTAGTCTATTCGCGTTTTTTAAAAAGAGAATGGCAAGAGTTTAGTAACACATGAGCTGCAAGAGAAGAATTTATTAGAAATGCTTTACTCATGTGAACACTGCTGGGTTGTGTAGAATGACAGAAAGAAAAGGTGACTCCAAGAAATGCACGGTGAGAATCAAAAAAACAACAAGTGCCACTTTGAAATGGTACTGAGAGCAAAGAATGAAGATCAGGAACAGAAAGGCTCACTGCGGCATATTTACATTCCCAGCTGTTTTTGTCAGGATAGACTAAGGCTTGGAATTGAATTAGGCATGCGGACAATATGGCCTGACGTGGAAATATCGGAGAAATGTGTGTGTGTATGTAGATGAATGCATAAAAGTGTTAAAACAGTAAAAACAGGTTAATATTAGTTGGAAGGTAAATGTTGATGGAGATGATAGGCAAAGGCTGATTCAAATAACTAAAGGCAAAAATGAAAATATACATCTTTAATTACGTAAATGCTGCCGGTTTCAATTGTTGTTTTGCTCTACAAAATGTGTTTGTTTATTTTTTTGTTTGTTTTTTAGAGGAAGGAGCTGGGTGTGTTGGTGTACAACTGCAGCTGTCTGGCTCTGGACCTCCACAAAGTGTTCAGTCTCTACTGGGGTCTCCAGTATAAAGACTTTATTCCCACCTTCTGGTCCAAGCGCCTATTTGCTGTGTCCAACAGAGACACACCACTGAGTCTCACAATCAATGGCACAAAAGCCTTGGCCTATGTTTCTGTAAGTAACATTTAAAGTATTAGTTTGCATTATAAATGAATTAATTCATTGGTTAATGTAGCAAACACACACTTTTTGGAGTCCAAAACTCCAAATTTTTGGTAAATTACAATACATATTTGCTGAAATTAGACATAAATTTAAGTGCGTGCAGTACACATTAGTGTAAAAGCTGCCTGCAGTGGTGGCGACAGCTTAGAAGAGGGAACGTTAATTTTTCATAGAGTCCTCTGCAGGATGCTGTGTCTTTCAGAGTCCTTATCTTCTTGGACAAGAGTGATGGTGATCCAGCAGAAAAAAAAAATGTTGATTCGGCTAAGCTGTCCATTTCAGTAATATTAAAATAAACACAAAAAGCACACTCAAGCACACACTCTGAGTTAATCATTCATAGGGTACAGTGCCTGTCAGCAAGAAGTTAAAACTGAAACTTTAATCCTCACTTATTCACACAACGAGAAACCCTGATGCTCATTTACAATGATAATAACGAGGAAAGCTCAGTCGGTTATTATGATTATAACAGCTTTAATGATCACAGTGGCAACTCTGTAGTTTACTAAGATTCCTGTGGTAATAATTATCTGTTTACACAATGCTCTTGTGATCACTGTTGTGTGTATCTTTAAAGAGGAGTATGCAACACCAACATTCCCTAATTCTCTGTTGACAGAGCTCACCGGATGTTTTCATTCCCAAACATCGCAGCAGTGATCTGGAAGCTATTGCCAGGGTCATCCAAGAAGCCAACCATTTCATATATATCTCCATCACTGATTACCTGCCCCTCATCGGCAGAAACACCAGCAGGTTAGAGCAAATATGCTGCCGCACAGTGACTTGGCAGGCATTTATCACCAGAGGCTTGAGTGCAGTGTTTAAACTGCGTATGTGCCGGACCAGCTGCATGCCTAATTCTGCGTGTATTTGTATCTGTGCCAAGGTACTGGTCGCGTATCGACAGCCTTATAAGAGAGGCTCTGATCCTGAGGAATGTACGAGTCCGTCTGCTGATAAGTTGCTCGGAAAAGACTCATCCGCTAACTTTCAACTTCATCTGGTCCCTGAGGAGTCTGTGCATGGAGCAGGCCAACTGCTCACTAGAAGCTGTAAGTTCAGGGCCAATATGCACTATTTTCATCTCTACAGATACTCTTTATCAAAGCTCACTGCTTAACTGTGCATGTGTGTGTGTACGTGTGTGCAGAAATTCTTCAACCCCAGGGGCCAGAGGGATGTCAGTCTCGAAGGAATAAACCACAACAGGTTTATGGTTACAGACAGAGCCATTTATTTAGGTGAGCTCATCGACTCGACTTTATGACTGTGGCCTATATGTCTGCTCACTTTATGCAGACCTATTTTTAGTGGACCTAAAGGAATACTTCCTCTTTTGTTTTGTTTTTTCTGACAGTGAGAATAAAGATAAAGATCAATATGATGAGGAAATTTGTCTAACACAGATGAACAAAAAATACAAGGGGAAATGACTGTACTGGCACTCTAAGGTCAAAAACACTATAATCAGATGTTCAGAGGTTAATTATATGTGTGCTTCATTTGCTTAAGCTTCATCACTAACCAGGATAACAACCCTAAATACAAATTAAAATAATTTAGTGATAATGAAGCAACAAGCTAGCCCAGACGCTGTGATTTGGGGAAAGCCTCGCTGAGGATCTGCTGCAGCTCCTAACCCTGGCAAGTTCACCTGATACCTTTGCTAGAGGCAGGAGGGAGGGTGTTGCACAAAACTAGAGCAAATGTACGTATGATGCAAGTAGGCTATTATAGATGTATGAACAGTGTTTGAGGCATGTGGTCCAGTCTCTGAAATTCAGCTAAATCATCTCCAAAATCTGGATGTTGATCCATTTTTATGGAAAACAATAACCAGACAGTGAACATCCAAGACAGGAAAGTCCGTGGCACCCATCGACTGAATGTAAAAACCTAATGTAGCCACTGTATCATCAACAAAATTGATTTGTGTAGTCCTGTTTTGAACTCTCGGCTTGAGTATTTTAACCATCACCATACTGGTAACCAAACTTAGCGAAGATTACCCTGCTTTGCTGCCTGTTCTACTCACTACGGGATCACACGTTACAAAATGAACCTTTTCTTTGAGCTGCTCCCATTAGTGGTCACCACTGCCGCCATCTCACCCTATCCCTATGATCCTCTTCTATCGCTCCAGCCCTCTGCATGTCCTCCTTCACCAAATCCATGAACCTCCTGTGTGGTCTTCCTCTTTTCCTCCTGCCTGGCAGCTCCATCTTCAGCATCCTTTCTCTAGTATATTCACTATCACTCTTCTGCACTATACAAATCATCTCAACCTTGCCTCCCTAACTTCCCTCTGATAAGTATAAAAATAAGAATAACTTTTTTGATCCAAGAGGGAAATTCATGTCTGACATAGCTCATCTGCTATTTGTATAAGAACTGAAAAGCCTGATGGATGTTTTTTTGTTCCATAAAGATTTTATAATGTAGGTGATCAGAGTTGTTCAGGATGGCTTCTAACATCTTTAGTGTGTATCCTTCCTCCGCCTCCTTCAGCATGTCCAGTCTGGCTCCAATAACAGAGCCAGCTTTCCTCTAGCCTTCTTGCCTCCTTGTTCCTGATGCTGCCTCACCAGCAGGCTGCAGCACAGAATAGCACACTTGCCACCACAGACTGATAGAACATCTGCAGCATTGTACTAAAGATGCAGAGAGATCTTAGTTTTCTTAACAAAAAAAGAGGCGACTTTGCCCCTTTTTGTACAGTTCGTCTATATTCAGGGAAGTGTCTAATTTGTTGTCTAGGTGATGTACTCATTTCTAATCTTTTGCCTCCTGCCTTTTTATTTGTGCCACTCTCTTCAAACGATATCAGTTCTCACTACTGCTATGTAAACCTTCCTTTACCTTACCCTCATGCTGCTCTTGTCACATATCACCCCACTCAAGGAGACTCTCCCTGCTGGAACGTGAAGAGAATGCAGGTTGAATATACAGACCTAAAACCCACAAGTTATATTAATCATCACTGTTTGGTTGCAAACAGTTCATCGGTACAATTTCCACTTTGATTTACAGTCTATAAACTCAGATATGCTTCTCAGTTCTTCAGTTCCATCTACAAGTTACCCAAAACTGCGATGTCATTTGTGTTTCTCACTGTGGTCTATTTCCTGACAGGTAATCTTGACTGGGAGGGGGATGAGTTTACCTTTAATGCAGGAGCAGGCCTTGTGATCAGTAAGGTAGAAGATATCGACGACAGGAACTTCACCGTCGTGGAGCAGTTACAGGCTGCGTTTGAGCGGGACTGGTTTTCACAGTACACCATCCCCCTGCAGGCTAATAAATTCCTGGTTTGCAACAAGCACCAGATCAAACCAATGGTGTTACTCAAAGCCAGCCAGCTACGCGATGGACCACTGCCTATTCGGAAAGGGCAGCATAATAAAGGATCTATACTACCAAGAAATCATCACAAAGTTGTTGGACAGACACCGGACGAAACAAGGCACCGTAACGACAGACTGAGCAAACTTACTCGACAAGGCACTGCTAGTGGGTTAGTGCCAGTTATGGACAACTACCAAGAGAGGAGTCAAATGAAAATGAGTCGCTTTGACCAAAAACAGGTAGAAATAAAAGGTAACGCCGACAATCCAATGGAACTACCCAGTCAGTCCGCTGAGAGCAGTGGTGGCAGAGAGATCGCCAATGGATTTGTGTGACCACAAAAATCATGTTTGAAGAACTTCTTTCCTCCAGTGGCAATGGACTTCCAACACTGGGTCTTTGTAGCAGTTTATTATTGTGATTTTATAGAAAGAAACTTTTCAAATTTAGGTATCTGGTTTGCAGGACTTGATAAAAGGAAGAACTCAGGAAGGAAAGTAAATGCTCCAAAGCAGGCTGGCACTTTTGAATCTTAACAAATGAAACCAAATCATTTTGGTTTAGAATTCTGATTAGTAGGCTAATAATATTTTACAACCTTACAACTTATATATTATTTTTTGTCCTTGTTTAGATCTCCCGGGAAAGGAAATAAATTGCACTGATTGCCTAAATATTGTATGTCACTTAAGCTAACATTCATAATTAATCACCCTTTAAAAGGAGGGATAACAGCTGCATGTGAAGAGGCAGGAGGCACGTTAGCATATGTAGCTACAGTCGCTACATCTGGCATTCAGAATTCACCACACACAGGTTACCACACACCTTAAGCTGTTGCAGATCTCTAACTGCCTCTGTGCTTTCAATGGTATTGAATATGTTAGCCTAAAGTAAACAGGTTTATGCTTTTCCCATAGTATTCACTCACACCAGAACATTATTTAAATTGCAAAATTCTTAAAATCAACAATTAAGCAGAGACTGAAATAAAAGTTTAATCGGCTTCCTGGAAACAAACAGCTTCATATGTCTAAGCCAAGTAATGTATTGATCTCTAATTATAAGCATTAGTTGTTTTAGAAAAAAAAACTGATGAAGTGGGCCATTTAAGGGATTGCTCAAACCATGTCCACCATGTTTTATTTCCATTTCCAGAAGTATGAACATGGGTGCATTGTTCCACTGCATGACTGAATTAGATGATGCATTTGATGGCTTAGCATCCTCCATCAGCCACTACTTTCAATAAAGCAAGCTGTGGTCTTTTATGGTGGAAGGAGGGGGAGCTAACGATCCAGAAGGGTCTTAAAAGATCATTATCGATAACCATAAACAAATCCTGGGATTAGAGGCGGATTGCATGGATATCTCTAGTATCCTTTCAAACCCAGCATTGGGACTTATTGAACAAATACTGAAGTAGCATTAAGACGAAAGGGGCCAGAGGGTCTCTGCTGTCAACCAAATCAATACAATGAATTTTTAACAGAGCTTGACAGAGGCAGTTGCTGTATTTTAACCTCAAGGACATGTTGGCCTGTAATGTCATGCCTGTGACAGAATATATATTCCCTTTATCTTGTGGAGATAGAGCTACAAATCTAGCATCTTTAGTTTATACTTGACTGAAAGCTTGAAGCAACATTTATTTGCATTTCGAATGATTGCATGTTTACACACTCTTTGCTACAAGTGTAACTTTTAGAAATGATTCTTGTGGGATTTATAATAATACAGAAGGGTTTTTTTTTCAACTTTCAAAGCCATTAACTGAGTAAAGTCAAAAACACCACCAGAGAGAAAATCGTAGGGATGTCTTTGTCTAAAATGTATATATGTGTTTCTATGGAGTGTTTAACATGACACATGCGTCATCAGTGTTATGTCTGATTTCAGGAGAGAATTAATTGACAAGTATTCTGATAATGTATTAATTATATAAACAGTCATTTTCTATCATTAATATATGAGGTGACGTTTCTTGACCCAGCTAATAAAGATATTATCAATTTAATCAGTAATGAAAACAAAACATTAGTTCCATCCCTAAAACAATATCTGGGGTTTGGTTATTTTTCAGGCTGTGTACCATTTGAAAAACGAATGTCTGTCGAGGTTCTCAGTCATCCACGCCGTGGTAGTCCTAAGCATGTTACGTGAAGGCAGCTGGATCTTTTTAAATTGGCACATGGATCAAAAGGAAGTCCAGTTTTCTTCATTTCAGGAGCTTAGGATTTCAAATGTTTGTTGGCCAATATCGAGTCAGTTGAAACTTGGGTAGCTGCTGCCATCTAGTGGATGTCACGAGGCAAATTACTTGCGTTCACTTAAAAGTTGCTATTAAATGTTAAATGAAAAATTCAGCCTTGATCAAGCAACATGTTGGTTCACATCTGCTGATTTTATGCACGTGTAACATGCATAACAGGCAGTTCCATGAGCATGTGTGTGTTTTATCAGATAACACTTAACTGACTCTATCCTGAGAGCTATTCTTTCACACCAGAATGTATAAACTATAAACAAGAATAATACCATTTAAAAAATTATTTCATTCTGAAAAGCAAAAAACTTTTTTTACTACTTATGTGTACCCTAAGAACCTATACCTTTCTGTGCAAGACACAGCCACGTATCTATCTTTAATAATTACTTCATAAAAGTATCCTTAAATGACAAACACAGTCATTTTTCATTTGTAGCATAACTTCTCCATACCAAGTGAGTAGACTTTGAGAATATGACAATAATAATATCTATGTGTAAAGCACTGTGTCACCACACTGTAATGCTTATCTGCCAGCTGACCTGGAGTCAGATTCACTACTATACGCTGCTATTATCTATGATTGTCATATGGGGAGGGCGGTAACGCTGGTACTGCATTCTGCCCAGGTTTTTTTTTATGGTTTTTGTGTTTTGTAACTATTCTGTTTTGGAAAACAAATCTTTTTCCAGTTACAGTGGGGATTATTTTTAGCTTTGTACACAGTACACAGATGCCAAGATTTAAGTGGTTTAAAATCTGCTACATGCAACTTATAGATTCAGAGCAAAATAAAAAAACAAAAACAAACTGGAATGTTTCTGAATTGTGTGTTGTCTGCCTGTCCATTGCTCCAGCGAAATGTTCATTTTTCAGTGGAAACTCTGTAACAGATCATATTTTTCTTGTACACAGAAGGGCAGAACTGCTTATTTTAGCAAAACAAAGCACTATTACCGAGAGATACATTTCAAATACTGCCTGTAAAGCTTTTTAAATGTTGCCTACCTTTAGTATGTTTTTTCGGCATGACTGCTGCTTGCATGCCTTGCCTTTATGAGCTGTGCACAATAGCTATGAGCCTTTCTTGAGATGATGCTAATAATGAAATCTTGTACCTTTAAAGATACAGAAGGAATGTATATTTATTGAATATCCTTGTTAATGCACACTACTAAATTATGTGATCATTCGATTTTTACTATTAATAAAAAATAAGCATCTTAGCTTATGTTTCTCTGTGCGTTTGTGTGTGTATGTGTGTCTGTTTAGTGATCTGGCTTTCGTAAGTAAAGTGGCTTACCTCAGAAGTTAATCCTTAGTACATCGCTGCACATTCAGATTACACAGGCAAGGCCCTGTGTAACCAGAATGGACAGTCAAAGAAGCCTTACCACAGGATGGCTAATAACAATAATCATCATAATCATATTTAATAATTACAATCATATTTACCATTTACCATAATACCATAATAATTAGATTTGCCACAGGATGAAGCTAATGTGAGATTAAAACTAGTACCACGGCCAATTTAAAACATAATCTACGTACGTACAGTAATGTGCAAAAGTCTTGAGTCAACTCTCATTTCTTTATATTTTGCTTCCAAGGAGCCAGACTTTCGTCTAATTTTTAAAGTGGTCTTGAGTAATAGTTCTTCTTTTTGCACTGGCTTTTTTTCTCACTTGTTTCAAATCCTTGTACCTGATTATTTTGAAAGGAACATTTTTGTCATTGTTGTTGTTGTTTCTTAAGCCACTTCAACCTCTGTTGTAGACAGACAACATGCAAAGAACCAATTTAAGTTGTTTTGTTACCACTAGCCTGTTGCAAAGGTTCATCATTTGTTCCCATTTCTTTAGTTAAATCTATGAAAATTCCCAAAGATAACATAGTTTGATTAACACAAAAGAGTATTTTTTGCATGATTAATGTATTTCCCAAACTGCTATTGGCTGAAAACATGACATAAGTTGGCAAAATGTGCAAGAGAACAGGAGGACAAATTAATTCCAGCAACAAATAAAGGGAGTAGAATCTGAAAACGTTTGGCTCACCTTACATTTGCTTTTTCAGATAGCACACGCTAAATGGCAACAAAAATACAAACAAAAGACTCAGTAATCTATATACAATGAGCGAACGCTTCAGCTTCGTCCGGGCGGAGGGAGCAGCTGACTGACGTAATGGTTACCTTAGCAACCTATTAGGCGTCAACACTCACCATTCTCAAATTCATGACTGCGCATTTCTCACCTTGTCCAGAATGGAAAAAGCAGCCTCCGAGACTCGTGCGGACTAGTTAACGAGGGACGATAAACCAGATGTGTTTTCCCATCTGTGTGAGCTGTGCTGCACGCGCCGACCTGAAGAACAATACCGTGTCAGGGCTGCCGCTGCTGCCTTTGTTGTTGTTGCTGCTGCTTACGCCCCCCAGCTACAACCAACATGGCTGAGGACGACGGTGAATGGGTTTTAGAAAGCATCGTTGGCTACCTTGGAAGTCCCGAATGGGTCGTTCCTGTAACGGACTTTTTGGAAAACAAATGCACAGGTAAAAACAGGTTATGCGGTGATTTTAGTCTGAGACTTTAAGCCTCTCTGGAGCTGTGCACCGTTAGCGCTGCGGCTAAGCTAACGCTAACGTGTAACAGCGATGCTGTCTGATAGTTTATCCACTCAAGTTTAGTACTAGACTTTCTCCTCCTGTACATTTACATATGATACGAGCGGAAACAACGACAGCAAATCCTACGACACCAAATACAACAAACATCTGCATATAAGCGGACCTATAAACAGGTTTTACATATTTAACTTTTCTGCGTGCTAAAGTCAGTGCATCTAGCTAAGTCTATAAAATATTTCCGTGGACACAATTAATTTCTGTCAACTGTGTGTTTTCAATATTTCAGTTTTTGACGACGAAGATGAGAATAAGTTGGCATACACAGAAATCCACGAGCAGTATAAGAAATTGGTGAGTTCAGTTGTGATTACTATAATCTGGCTAATGTCGTGCATTGCCTCATCAGCATCAGTCAGTAGTAGTTTCATATTGCTGACTCGTCAGAATGGACTGCTGTGAGCTGCTTTGCTTTCGTAGGTGGAGAAGCTGATGGAGAATTACATGCAGGAGGTTGGCATCAACGAGCAGCAGTTTTTGGATGCGTGTACTTCTCCCTTTGCCAAGTCTAAAGCTCTGGAGGTACTCTAAGCTTCCTGCTTGCACACCATTGTCAGCCTGCCAGCTAACCTGAATTGAGAATCAGGGATAGGATTTGTTTACATAAGCCCAGTGTTGCTGGCATCAAGCCCACTGCTTGATGCCAGCAACACGTTTTAAAAAAGGAGTTTGGAGGGGTTCAGGGTTTCCATTTAATTTGAAACATTCACAGTCTTGCGTTATACAACATTCCAGCTTTCTAAGGCCGTCTTTGCTGTGTTTTTCGCTGCATAGTTCATCAGATGTTTTCAATAGCTGACAGGTCTTGACATGTCAGGTACTTACTACTTTTCAGATGCTGAGTTTGGTTGACATTGTCTTACTGAAATAAGCAAAGCCTGTATATATATTGTGCTTTTACAGATGCAAACTCATTCACCCCTACACCATCGTGGATACTGGCAATTGAACTGTGCACTGAGTTAAATGATTCTTTCTCTTTTGGCTGACAGCATAGCATCTATACATACATCTATACATCTATAAATTCCAAAACGGACTTCAGTGGAGGACAGTCAGAGGACAGTGTTTTGTTTTGTTTTCATTGTCCCCTAGTTTACCTTAAATGAGCTTGTCTGTGAAGGTTCTCAGTCATCCAGGTCATCATAGTCAAAGGAGCTTGCAAAGAAAAGCATCTGGACTTCTTTAAGTTGCTTGAAGACGTTTCACCTCTCATCCGAGAAGCTTCTTCAGTTCTAAGGTCAAATGGTGGGGAGTCCCAGATTTAAATGGTAAATGTATTTATACAGCGCTTTACTAGTCCCTAAGGACCCCAAAGCGCTTTACATATCCAGTCATCCACCCATTCATGCACACATTCACACACTGGTGATGGCAAGCTACATTGTAGCCACAGCCACCCTGGGGCGCACTGACAGAGGCGAGGCTGCCGGACACTGGCGCCACCAGGCCCTCTGACCACCACCAGTAGGCAACGGGTGAAGTGTCTTGCCCAAGGACACAACGACCGAGACTGTTCAAGCCGGGGCTCGAACCGGCAACCTTCCGATTACAAGGCGAACTCCCAACTCTTGAGCCACGATCACCCAGATCTGGGACTCCCCACCATTTGACCTTAGAACTGAAGAAGCTTCTCGGATGAGAGGTGAAACGTCTTCAAGCAACTTAAAGAAGTCCAGACGCTTTTCTTTGCAAGCTCCTTTGACCTTAAATGAGCTTAGCATCCAGATAAGTGTTTCTGGATTTGTGTAGGTACATTTTGTCTTTGCACGATAATTTTAAGCTGCATTTATCAATGCAAGTTGTGATCTGACAGTGTTTGTTTTGGAATTATTCCTGATCCCATGCTGATATTCCCTCCTGAAATCCTGAAATCATGGTCATTTTCCAGATTTTCTGAATCTTTAGCCGTTTTAAATATCAAAATGATGAAAACTCTTTACAAATGTATTTCTGAACATTTGCTCAAGCCCTTTTATACAGACTGGAGAATCTCTGCAGTCATTACTTCTAAAAGATTTGGTATCACTAATGCACTGTTTTTATACTCATTCTGTTACTTACCCTGTTGCCAAATAACCTAATTAGTTTGAGATGTTTGTCTTTTGTTTCTGCTTTTTTATCTGTTGCTGTAAACATAGTCAAACTGAGCTTTTTCCTCAGAAAACACATTTCTTAGTTCTGAATTGAGCCATTAATTAAGGAAGGGTTAAACGGTTGTTTCCATTTTATCACATTAGTTTAGATTAATGTAAGTCCTGTGTAAGTGCCACAATCTTGGCACCCTGAAGTGTTATACTGTGTCTGAATGTTTATTACACGAAGCAGACTTATCGAAAGAAATCATCTTCAAGCTGCACTTCATTAGGAGTCACTGTGTTTTCAGTCTTCCTCTGTGTTTAGTTACTGAGTCAAATACTTCACAATATAGTTGTTTTTTTGTGTTTATGAGAGACTGAAACTGTTTTGGTGAAACTGACGAGATGCCAGAACTAAAGCAAAAATGTCCAAAAATATAGACCATATCCATGGATTACCACTGGCAGTGATCAGTTGGACTACATTGGAATTGTGAAAAAAAGTCTTATTGAATAGATTTTGATGCAGAATATAATTTGAATTTTACACTTGTGTCTCTTCTATAAGCACACACTCAGTCTTCATTATCATGTAACATGAACATAAACTTTTTACATAGTTTTTATTAGCTCATTGGACTGAAGGCCCAGTAAGGTTTGTCCATGATCAACAGGACATGCTACTCTTCCATGGCAGTATTTAATAAACTAAACTTGCACAAAGTGATCATCTAATGAGCCTTCACCCAAATTATGTTTAAGGTCAGGGCGATATTGGTTGTTTTATGGAAAATTTTCCATTTTCACAAGAATTGCTTCTCCTCCTGCATTGTTCAGAGTTGAAATTCGTCTTGGATATGACATTGAATTTGCCTCATTGTCTTCTCAATAGATAATAATTCTCAGTAGTTTGTTCAATAAAGCCAGTCAATGAAAACAACAACTATTTCACACATTACTACAACCTGTGAACGGATCAGGAGCTGGTTGACTACGTCACTGATGTTCTGTTTTTTTGTTCTTCAGGCAGTATTCCAGCCAGTTCTGGCTACAGATGACTTCCAGATCTTTCGCTCATTGATGGTTCACAAGAACATGGAGCTGCAGCTCCAAGCCCTCAGGGTCATTAAAGAAAGGAACGGTAGGCTGGATTAACATGTAAAGCAAATCCAAACACACACTTGCGGAGCCAAACGCTCAGCTGTAGGTTAAATGTCTTTGTGTGTGTAGGGGCCCTCCCAGAGTGTCTGACTGATGGTGTGGACGTCATGACAGAGTTGCAACAGCAAGAGATGAAAATCCTGCAGGAGGTTCTTAAGTAAGTCGCTCTGTCATTCTTGCGGTATCTGACTCCTTCAGTGTTTGACATAACATTTACTGGTGTCCCAAAAATAAACTTTTAGTTGTTGTGTAAAGCTATTGGAATGGCCGATTTGAAGATTTAGGATTGTTGATATTTTAATATGTGACTGTAAGAAAACCCTTAGTGAGTGTCTGGTTCAGTTAGTTTGTTTCACAGGTGAATCAATCAGTGAAAGCCAAAACGAGCCAGCACCTGCTCAACTATCTTTCCCCACATAGTTTTTTACTGACTGTGGACCATCACTAGTTCTGTTGAACCTGACATCTCATTCAGCCTTACACAGAAACATCCTCACAGTTCACTGTGCCACCTTAAGAGCACTCTAATGTTTTTTTAAATGCTGTGGCTCTTCGTGTTTTTATGGCACATCTGTTGAAAGGATATTTTAGAAGTCCTATGAGCCAGATTTTGAACAGTCTCTGACGGGAATTTCATGGAAACAGTTTTTGATCATTTCTACTACAGACTAAAAAAAGCGCTGTTCTATTTATTTGTATTCCAAGTTAACATTAATTAGGAATGTATTTGCTTAACAACTCTGATGGGAATTACCAGCTTCAATCCCCATTTTTTTCTCAATTATTCCTAACTGAATAGATTCTTTTTCTTTGTATTTAGGCTGAAATTTCACATTTACATTAGTCAGTAGGTGTTTACTAATTTTACTTTTCAGGTAATTCAGTTAATTTTATAGTAGATATGAGGTTTTTGTTCCTCACTATACCATTAAGAAATTTCCACATTTTCTTTATGCATCCATTGCACTTCCTGAAGGCTTCCTGAAGCTCCTATCACTCTTCTCTAATGGGATTTTGCTATTGAGTGCCTGGCCAAGTAGAACACACAGAGTCTAATGGGACCACAGTTAAGCTCCTTAGGATCCAGCTAATTTAGGTCGGAGGGATTGACACTAAACAAGCAGCTGAGAAAAACGGTGGTTTCATCCCTTTTGTCATACCAGGGAACCTTATCAGCGGTCCACTATGCTGCCCCTACTCCTTTCCAGGTTATCAATAGTTTCTTCTATATAAGTGGCATCATAAAGGAATTGTTTCACGTAATCTCTGATTGCAACTGCATCACTGAAGCTGACGCTTATTTTGATGACGGGTCTTAAACTAGTATTAATTCTGCAAGTTTATGTTTAATTGTTTTATCCTCAACAGTTCAAATGTATCTATGTTCTGTCAATATCAACCTATAAAAATCTTCACAGGATTTATGACTAGGCACAGTTCCAGTCACAGTGTCTCTGTGTTTCCATACACCTACTTGTAAATGCTTTGCAGCAGTCTCCACTGAGACAGTTTAGGCTATTAAATAAATCAAATTAAAGGATCTGACTGTGATTCCCAGGTGATGCCTGGGAGCTGGTTGGGGCAAAACGTGGTTACCACATGGAAATCCCTGACGCGGCTGTCTTTTTCTAGTTTCTACTGGTGCTGTCAGCCAAGGGCTAACTGGACAATAGAACAGGCTTACCTCTAAATTGTCAATGCTCTTATCACACCTGAACTACTGAACATACCGTGAACCCCTTCGAGAGGGCTCTTGACCGAAGGTTTTGCAACAGGGCTGAAATAGTGAAGTTTAAACAGTTAGTTGGTCCTAGGCTTATGTTGAACTTTTTCTTTTTTTTCTCTCCCGCTTATTCCTGTGTAGAAAGTCAAAAGAGGAGTATGATGAGGAAATGTCCAGGAGGCTGCTATTAGAGAAAAAGGTTGGTTCCACCTCCAGTGGCTGGTCTAGTAAGCTAATGGCAGAGTGTGATGAAGCCAAGAATACCTCCTCTGCCCTCAGCCAACACATCAGCCCTGCCAAGGTGAGGCATCATGAGCACTATGAGCTAAATAAAACCTGTGAACCAGCCAAATAGTGCATCTTAGTGAGGCTTCTTGTGCATGTCGGTGTTACCTTTTGTTGGACTTTATCTTACATAATCTCACTAACTACTTTTCCATGTAGTGCCTGAAGCCAGAGAAGCTCAATTCTTATTGTGAAGTCTCCTTTAACCTTGAAATCACTTTTTTTTTAAATGTGCTATTTAAATTTCACCAAGGTGAAAGCATGGGTTAATGATCAGCACACCACACTGGTAACTGGAAAAACATAGTATAAAGTTGAACCATCCATGCAGTAAGATTTTAATCAGGGATGTATTAATAAGTACACTGCAGTTTACTAACTAGAAATACAGCAATGCCAGTTCAGCTGTGTCTGTAATAGCTAACAGAGAGAAAATGCTGGTAAAACTAAAATGCGTAGTAGACGTCTGCTCTTAACAGATATAAATACCAGCAGCTTTGAAGTGTTTGTGTTTTGTGGATTTTGCACATTATTTGGAGACAGTTTAAATGTTCATTCATTCTTTCCATCACCCATATCCCCACCTGTAGGTCAACAGTAACCCAGTTAGAAAAGAAGGGAGCAAGACAGCTGCTACAGGAGGTGGTGCTGAGAGAAGGAGTGGCTCCTCTAAACCCACACCAGGTAAGTTAGAGGAGAAGACAAGCACTTTGCGACCAACTGAACTCTTTCTTTCTTCTTGTTATATGAAATTACCCCACTATACCACATTATTCTTGATCTCCTGAGCTACAGACAACCCACATAGTCAGATGAGAAACCTTTTTATTACTGGAAGTCATGTAAACGAGCAGCATCAGTAGTATTACTAATGTTGCAGATAACATGTGAAGCTTTTTAATCTTTTGCTTTATTTTAAACACACAACCAACACGAGAGTGGCAGCTCATCAAAGTCATTTGTGTATGTGCCCACAGATCGTGGTAGTGATGCTGTGGGATCCCGAGTTCTGCCAGCTGTGAGAGCTCCTGTGAAGTCTGGTGAGCCCTCCATCAGCAGCAGTCCTCATGCCGGGGAGCAGAGCAACAGCAGCCAGACTACAAGCGAGGCGTGGCTGGAGGAAGCACACAGGGAGGCTGGCTTCTCTAAGCCATATACTGTGAGTCTGTGAGACTGCTGACTTACCCCCTAGATTACAGGAAATCTGCGCATAACATAAAAAGCGATTTGCCTCATCCTCACTCTGAAGGAAAGATCAGTGCCAAAGCACAATTGCACTCTAAACAGAAGGGTTTAAAATTTCCTTTTATGTAGACAACAATAATTTAGTTTTAAACAACTGAATTACCTATTACTGAAAGAAAACAAAATAAAATACATATTTTGTTTTACTTCCCTACCTAACATAAATATGTACAATAGATACAGATACAGATAATCACAATACAATACAGATTATGACCTGCATTAATTTAAGGGAGGAACACCGATGCATAGACTGTATATAAAAGACAGACAGGTGTTGTCGGTGATTTCACCAGTGCTTTGTAAGGTCTTGTTGTGAATGTGACCACCAACCTTCAGATTAGTAGGTGACCTGCGTCATCTCCTGAGCTACAGCCAACCCACATAGTCAGATGAGATACATTTTTAATGCTGGAAGTCATGTAAACGAGCAGCATCAGTAGTATTACTAATGTGGGGGTTTTAAAAAGGACACAACAAGCATGCAGTGCGTGTAACTAAGTGATTGAAAGAAATGTAGAGACTTGACAATAACAAGTTTACATGCCCTTATACCTCATGTGTGAGAGATTGCCAGTTTGAAACTGGGAGGAGACTAAAGCTCCGCATGCTAGAATGACTAGTAACAGTCCCAAGCCTGGATAAATGTGAGGATTGTGTCAGGAGGTGTAAAAATCTGTGCCAAATCAAATGTGCAGATGTACTGTGGAAACAGTTTGGGAGATAGGAGAGCAGCTGTAATTGCTGAAGTTGAAATATAATAATTGAGATTCACCTGCGTTTCTCTGCAGGAGTTATCAGTATCACAGCAGGAGCACCTCCAGCAGAGGGCGGCATATCTGCGTCAGCAGAGGGACAAGCTGCACGCGCTCCGAAAAGAGCAGCAGAAAACCAAGCAATCGTCCTTGCCGGAGGAGGCACCCAGCAGTCCCACACCAGCACGCAGCACTACCCCGGTAAATGCAAGTCCTCGCCTCCTTCTCTATACCTCACTTCATAAAGTTGCTCCTCCAACTGCTGCAGGCAGTTTGGCACAAATTCTATCTGTTGAAACAGGGATTTGCAGTAGTTGTGTTGAAGTGAATACATTGTTGTTGATTAGACACACATTCATGCATTAATACTCATAGTGGCTTATTAAAGTTCTTCAAAGTTATCTTTAGAGATTAGAAATTTAAGTTTGACGCTGGTTATGAATTATGCCTCACCCAGGACCGGTTATCCATATTTCACCTGATTTTCTTAAACCTACATTTAATTTTTTTGTCTTCTTGTTTTTTTTCCCCTTCCAACTTGTTTTATTTGCTTCTTTTTCTTGTTCTTCATTTCCACCCACTTCCACTTGTGTCTGCTCTGGACTGGCCTGTCAGGAGGCAGTGGGTCAGTCCCAGAGAAATGGGGTCTGTTCCCCTCCTCCACCTACTCCTCACTGTGCTCCTCCAGCACAGCACTCCTCCAGTCAGAAGGTGATCCATCAGCTGCCTCTGATGTGAACAACTGTACTTGTTCATGTCTTGTGTTCATCTGCTTTTGCTTTGTAGTAATCATTCCCTTCATTATCACCAACTCAAGGTCTGCATCTTTTCCCCCCCTAAATTAATAATTTTATTGCCACAAACTGAAGAGAATCAGATCTTGATTTGTGTTGACTGAAATCATCGATCTTGACTCAGTTCTTATTCTTTATTAGATGCGATTCTCTGACAGCACCTTGTTTACCTCAAAGTTACAGGATTACTATGCCAATGTTTCCAGTACTAGCTGCCTGTGTTTAGTTTTCTTGCTTGTGTACTGTATGTAGACACATGTGCTTGGTTGTATTTTAGTCGCCTTTCTCGCTGCTTTTTCCACTTTCCCTATTTTGCTGGTGAGTATTGACTGCTTCCTGGTCTGGTCTCTTCTCACAGGAGATATCTGCTGAGGAAAGAAAGAGGCTGGAGAAGAGAAAGCACCTTGCCGACAAGCTGAAAGAGGAAGTGATCAAGAAATGACTTACCCTCAAAATGCAATATTCTCCCTTATATCTTATCTATTTACTCTGGCAATCAAACACATGGCTTCCTTTACACTGCTGCATATTTCGTAATGCAAATCCTTTCTCTTTTCTTTCTAAAGACAAAAATTATGGGCTCTTCCATCTTCTGAGTTCTTTTCTGTGTAGCAAAAAGAGCATCTTTGTTTTTAAATGACACTCATTACTCTTAACAGACCACTGGAGTATTTAAAGGTCTGATAGCTACTTTCTGTATTGGACTAAGTTCAGAAAATGTTAATTGAGCTAAAGCACAAGGGGCTGTGTGCTTCTGTATATCAAGCGATATCCTGCCAGCAGTACTGAAATCTCTGCTTTTCATTTGTAGACAGACTTTAATTATACTGTGGGGATGGTGGGTTCAGGAGAAGAGTAGGTTGCCCCTAATTGCAGGTTTGGTGGTGCCACAACCCCACCACATGCCAAAGTGTGTTTAGTGAGCAGAACAATGAACCCCAGTTTCTTCTTAATGGCAAGGCAGCACCTTACTTGGCAGCTCCACCTGCACTGGTGTATGAATGCATGACTGAGTATAGCTTCAAAGCACTACTACTTAAAACGTGTTGTATACCTGCTCCATTTGTAGACCATTGGTTGAAAAAGTGGAATAAAAAAATGTTTTTTTTCAGTCTGTACACTACTTTTTAAAAACGTGTAGCCGTGGGACAACAAATCAATCCAAACAGGTATTAATTATTTTTGTCATAATTTGACATTTTTAAGCAAAATTGTGAAGATTTGAATATTTCTTTTGTCACATACCAAGGTAAAGAGGATATTTAGACATTTTGTACTTTTCAAATAAAAGGGTGTATACAAATAGTTGTATTTTTTTCCTCGGTTTTCTAAAATTGAAGGACAATTAAGAAAATAAGCAGAAGATATGCAACACTATGCTCGTCAGTAATGGCACAAAATCTTGCTTCACAGTTTCTGAAATCCATTTTGCTACTTTGAAACTAGTCAATATGTTTGGAGTGCCGGATTTGGATTCAGACATTGGCTGATTTCCTTCTAGCAACTTTTAACAGTAACTGGCCATGACGTGATGAATCAGTGAGTACAGATTTAGGAGGACTCTACGCTGAGGTGAAGGCAGTATTAGTTGGATCCAGTGCACAGATTGTTTTCCACTGTTAGCATTCCCACAAGGAAGCTGGTACGTCGTTGGCAGTTAAGAGAGCTGTGAAAGTTGTCAAGATGACCAATCACGTGTTCATACAGGGGCCAAGAGAACAGTGCGCTGCTTTCTACGAGTGCTGTATTTATCTGCAAACCAATCAAGAGTCTTCACTTCAATCAACCATAATGCACCAGTTTATTTGTAATGTTGTTATTGTGTATGCTGTTTAATAAAAAATATATTTTTTAGAAACAACCTGCAGTCTAGACTTGAATGTGTGTATATATATAAAAACCTACCCACTTCAGTAGTTAGACCTTGTAAGTACTAGGTTGGACCCCCTTTTGTTTTCATAACTGTCCTAATTATTGTGGCAAAGTTTGTCCAATTTTTTAAACCTGTGCAAACTGTAGCCTGTTTTCTGGTTTCAGCTGATATATGATCTTCTACTGCTGCAGCAAGATTCAGTGTGTTACACATTTTTCCTGTTACCAGTGTAACAAAGCAGCCTGGCATTTTCATCCAGAGAACTGCTGCTCACTGGATATCTTCTCTTTTTCAGACCATTTTCCATGAGGCCCAATAGCGCAGGCTTTTTGTTCTCCTGCTCTTATCTCTGTAACTTTCCACGCAATTCAGCCAACTGATATACAGTGCACAGTAAAAGAAAGCACGTATAACTTTTCAGATGTTAAACCCCATTTTCTTAATATTTTCTGGCCTCTTATTAAGCAATCAAAATGCCTAACATAAAATCTAGGACACTTGCAGCTCCGATTGCCAATTGGTACAAAGTTGGTAAACAAAGCTAGATTCACAAGTTCAATGTCAGGGTCACATTTAATTTCAAAACTTATCAAATAAATTCATACAAATGTTAAGAATGGATGGTGGTAGTAAATGCACTTGGTACAAATTCATCAAGGGAGAGCAGAAACAGTCATTGTTGGATGGAACCAACATAGAGGAGGAAAGACAATTCACTGCAGGTGCTGCTCCTGAAAAGCACATTGGCAATAATTCTCTCATTTCCTACCTCCTGCTTTTGTTGCTGTACATGAACAACTGATCTAGCATTTTTTTTTTTTACCCAGTTTAGATTCCCTTCATCTTCCTATGTGCTTGTGTTGGGACCATGAGAGAAGAAGCAATGAAAGAAATGTTCCAACCCGACAGAATTATCCCGCTTCATCACACCGGTGTGTTGTCAGAAATAATACGCACAAGAACCACTGTTTGATTCAAAAACTTCACTGCATTGACTGCGGGGTAAATCATATTTATCATATCTAATAAAAACAGATCATCCATTCAGTCAATGAAAACTTTTTTTTAAAAAAGGACTTAAACTAACTTTTGATCTGTAGGGTTTATTTTTCTTCTTTTTTGTGTTTTTTTTTTAACAGAAAATGAAAAAAAACTTGAAATAGGCTTTAAATTTTGGGAGTAAGAAGATCTCAACCAGAGCAGAACGACACTTTGAACCCTCAAAATGAAAACAAAAGCCCCCTTTAGCACCTCAATCTCATTAGAAGAAGTCTCCACAGTATATGTAATATCTGATTATTCACCATCTAGTAGTGTTACTCTGGCCAGAACATAGTATAAAAGATGGACACAGCTTCCAGGACTGTAAAGTGAAACCAGTGTGGATGGGGCCAACTCTGGTTGCAAAAAAAAATTGAAGTTTATGGGAAACCGGCCCTCAACTTGCTTGCCCTATGACCTCAGTACACTTTGTTTATGGCTTCATGGTTTCAATCACTAGTTTCAGGTAATACTGAATAAAACATGAAGCTCACTTTTGTAAATTGCAGTCATTATTAGAATCCGAAAAGAGGATTAGTCAGGGTAGTATCCAGTGTGTGATATCCTTGTTCACAGCAAGATCATCTCCCCCCTTCTCACACCTGGTTTTAAAACTACAAGAGGCTAAGCTCAAGGCTTCGTAACAGGACTTCACAAACCAGTGGGTGACGCCACTGGCTACATCCATCTTTTATACCAGCTGTGCCACAACAAGGTGAGCAGCTTTTTGTTTCTGATGCAAGTTAAACTCTGAACCTGAGATCTGTCTGGGAGAAGGATGAACGACTCAGGTTTGCCACCCTTTTAAAACACAAACTGGGCTGATGATGTGCACACTGTAACGAGGACGCCAAGTTTGACTTAAGTACAAAATTCCAGACATCCTCGAAATGTTGACTGAAAAAAAGAAACAACTTGACTGCAAGTTTTTTTTTTGTTATTTTTAAACCAGCATTTAGGACTTCTCTGTATTTGTACACTGAATCAAATGAACTGTACTAAAGGGTGAACAGTGACCCCACCTTTTTGTGCGACAACAAAAAGAACACAGGCAGGTAGGGGTCTCGCTCCCCTTTCAAAAATCACGTCAGGGGCAAAAGATTAAAAAGAGGAACAAAAAGATCTGTACAGTACTTTTTAACAAAGTCATGAAATACAGGACTTCCTGGCTAACACAGTCTTGTATGTGCGTGTATCATCGTGTGTGTGTGTGTTTGTGTGTGTGCCTCGACCAAACTGACAACATGGCTTTTGAAGGTTTGAGTCCTGCTCCTCTCGCTCTTAGTCTTCATCCCAGTCTCACTGGTCAGCTCCCTTGTCTTAAGAATTTGGGGATTTTTCTATGATGTCCCTCTATCCATGACTAAAGTAAGTAGTTCTCTGGGAGGGGGGCACACACAGCTTCAGCCAGTCAAGCTTTCTATTACTATGACGGCTAGTCCTGCTAGCCTGACTGACCTGCTGTCAAGTTCATACACTGGCTGGTTGTGACCTGACTTGCTCTCTCTCTGGAGCTCATTGATTTGGATTTGAGAAGTATGGAAGGGCTTTTTATGTTTTTTATTTTTTTTAAATAAGAGGTGACAGGCGCAGTGGGGCTCTTGTTGGACTGCAGCTTCCTTAGCACTGTAGAGCTGGGAACTGCTGTGCCACCAATTCAAACTTCAATGTCTTGTTGGTGTTTAGGGTTGTGGGTAAGGAAGAATAAGAAGTGAGAACAGGAAAGGAGAGCAGGAAGAAGTGAAAGAGGGGAGAGATGAATTCTCAAAGGGTCAATGAGGTTCTCAGGTGGAAGAAAAGAGATTTGGGAATCTCCCTGAAGAGGTTGTTGAAAAGGAAGAGGTAAACAGGCTGAGACACAGATTGATCCTTCTTTCTTTAAAAAACAAAACAAAAACAAAACTAAACAAAAACAAAACAAAAGCAACTCTTCATCTCCTTTTGCCGAGGGAGAAGCTGGAGCAGCAATCAGAAGGGACTGAGAGAGGTGGGAGCTCGTCTTTGTCCATCTCTTCAGTGAGACAGGTGGCACAGGCAGGCAGCCAATGAGACAACCAGAGGAGGGGATTTCAAAGGGACTCAATGTCCGTCCACCATGACCAAAGAGGACAATTCGCCTTAGGAGCTCAAACGAGGCCGCTTCCTTGGAGACTGGTCTTCTTCCTCATCATCTTCCTCTTCATCTTCATCGTCAGGGTAGTCCACCAAACCAACCAGAGCAGTCTAAGACAACAACAAGAGTGACTGTTTCATTTCAACATGTACTTCTGCAGGAGCGCAGGACAGCTGTTAGTGCTGAAACATAGTGTTCTAAATTTCACTCACATTTTACTTATTCTGACCAGTGAAGGCAAACAACAAGTAACTTGTGTAACTATTGTCTGCATTCATGTTGTGATACCACTCGAAACATATTGTGCAACACAGAAAACTTCTGGCCTTTGATTAAAGACTGTCCTTTGTTATACTGTCCCCAAATTGGACAAAGGATTAGGATAGGACAGGATAGGAATTCAAGTCTTTCTCAGAATGCAACATGAAATATTACCTTGACTACTGGTGTGGCAGGAAGAGGAACAGTTTTGACAGAAGAAGCTGAACTGTTGTTTGGAGTGACGGCTGGTGAGGCAGGTGGGAGGGCAGCAGCTTTCCCGTTGTTATTGGCACCATTGGCTCCGTTGGCAGCTCCTACAACAACACAAACTAGGATCATGCAACAATCTGGGAAAAACTATCCAGCAACATTCATACAGTAAGAGAATATAGCTTACCTTTTTTGGCTTCCATGTACTTGCCGTAGCTATCAGAGAAGTCATCCCCCATTCTCTTTTCCACTGCCTCTCCATCGTCATCGTCATCATCGTCATTGAACCACAACTCTTCATCCTCATCCAAAGACCGCGCATCTCTTCGATATCTACAGTTGAGAAAACTGCTTCATGAGGTACAGGTGTCTACACAAGGGGAAGTACTACCTTGTGGTAATAAGTCTCTGATTAAATATAAATGAAGGTTATGAAGCTGAACAATGATGACGAGCGCCAGGGTTAACAGAGGTTGACTAAAACATGCAGAAATTCGGTAGGGGTGTGCACAAAATGGGAAAGCTAGAAAACTATGTAAAGTCGGCATATATACATGTAAATTTATGTGATGGAGTGCATGAGTGATAAAGATCACAGTAAGGGAATGACCCTTGCTTCTAACCTGTTGAGTCTCTGGCTCTGCCGGTCTTTTTCCTGTTCATATCGTCCTTTCAAGCCCTTGAATGTCTGGACATACTCAATGGATTCAAGTGCTTTGTAGAAGTTATCCACGATGTGAGCTATGAGTGATTTGATGTCCTCCTGGAAAGCAAAAGGTGGATCATTATATATTTAATGCAAAAACAAAGGCTTGTTAAAGTAGCCTTTGTGCTTTTACATACCACTTTAATAAACTCAAAGAGCTCTATGATGGCAGAGTTGAGGAGGTTGTATCGGGTCCCATTGTCCAGCAAGGCATTAATGACAGGCTCAAACAGGTTCCCTTTGATGATGTAGCGGTTGTAGTATTCGTCTTTTAGACCAATGATTCTGCGCATGAAACGCAGAGCACCTTGGACAAAAACAGAGCCACTTTGTAAAAAAACACGAGGCAAGATATGATTCAAAGTCTTATCTGTATTATTTCTGTGAGCTTGGATACAAACAGCAGTTACACAGCTCTGGTATGGTTATATCTGTATATGAGGTTCAACCACAATGTAGTCGCTATCAGAACACAGGGAACTTACAAAGAGCAAGGAACGTGTGCTTTGAGTTCATCAGCACCAGCACTCTCCTAAGCAGGTCTTTGTTCATGATGTAGGTCTTGATGTGATAGGTGTGGTGTTCCACACAAAAGGTCAGAAGCTCCAGGATCAGTGCCAGCAACTGAGCTGTCTGGAAGTTGTCTACACAAATAAAGACAAATCGTGTTAGGACATGCAGCACTGTCCGGGTACATTTCCAAATACAAGCCAGACAGCAAGTGTACAATCCTTTAATATATAGTTTTAAGACTCATTCCAGATTTTGTGATCCTCAGCATCTTCCTTAATAATTTGAAGCTGTTCCCATAGTCTGGTGACTAGCTTAACATTTTATTTCTTATTCACGTCCTCTAAAAGAAAAAGAACCACACCCTTAGTAAGAGCTGCTGGTCATTTATTTATGAAGGGTTATAATAATATAATGATGTTGTCTACTACAAGAGCAGTACTTTCAAGCCACTTCAAATGCACAAATTTCTAACTGTTGAGTAGTTCATGGTTGACAGTTTAAATAACACCCACCTGGGCACACTGGGTTGACCTTTGTTGATCCCTCCTGCAGATCTGAAATGTGATTACATGGATTAAACAGTGAAATTTCCTTTCTTCCAGTCTGTTGTACCCTAGTTTAACTTCCCAGCTCACCTTTTGAATTTTTGTCATGTGCAGTGTTGGCCAGCAGAGGAGCAGTCAACACGTGCATGCAGTATTTGTAGAAGAAACTCAGAAACTCTGTCTTCTCAGTTTTCTAGCAGAAAAAACAAACACAAAAAAACTTTAATAAGTGTTTAAGGTTTCACTCAGGGGACACATATGCTTAATCTAGCGGTGGTAACGGACATGTGGAGACACAGATGGGGGATTTTGTCAGATAACAATGAGGTAGGCACCATAAATATGCTGCTTTACATCAGTGTTTCTTAAACTGTGAGGCAGGCCTCACTGGCAGAGCCACTGCAGGTGGGTAAAAATAACACGTGAAACTAAGTTGAATAAACTTGACTTTGTAGACTTTGTTTTTTTAAATAAAGAAGACTCCACTGACCCTAATTTCACTAAATTGGATCCTTTCGTCATTGTTAATGACTAAAAAGTGTGGGGAAATGAGTCACACCAAATAAAAGTCTGAGAACAACTGATTTAAATGAAAAAACAGAGTGATCAACATTGAGCAATGGCTGGAGAAAAAGGAGCGGGGAAGAAATCAACAAAAATCTGGTTGATTTTGCTTACGTTGGTGGAAGCCAACATATTCTCAGGGTCGATGAGTGTCCTGAGCAGACCCATCAGCTGGACAGCTCCCCCCAGCTCTGGGTCAGAGTCACAAATCATCTGCTTAATCACAACATTTATCAGGAGAACATCCTGAAACACAAATACACACACACAAAGCAAACAAAGGAGAAGTTAACACAGTAGCACGCTCAGACTAAAAATAAATTTTGCATGGCATGAAAAGAAAACTGTCTCTCTCTCTCAAAAAAAAAGGGCAAACACACAGTATTAAAACAAACAAAAAAAGCCTTCTTGTACACAGAACAGAGGATCAACAGAGGACACTAAAGAAAGTTAATCAAACTTTGTCTCAGCAATTCTCTATAACAGTTCTGTGTTTTTATACTACTTTATCAAACATGTAAATTGTGTATCAGCTATAAAATGCCTTCAAATGTTATGGCTCTGTAGTAAAAATCGAGCAACTGGGTCATCACGTGAGCCCCAACAGTCACAGGCTGTTGTCACAATACAAAACACCTCTTGTTTACCTCATTGTTCATAAAGCAAACAGTTTTCCTTATTTAGATTTCACCTCAGTTATGGACTGTTCAACAAGCCTGACGTGGTAATGAACTATTTGAAACTGAGAGAGCCTGGGCTGCCAATAACACTGCTTTCAATAAAGAGAAAGTTCCTTTTTAAAAAATAATGATTAGATGCTTACATCATCTGTCTGCTGAGGTTCCTGCATGACAAATTCCCTAACCATGGAGGGGCTGAATTCCACCAGGTAAGAGAAGATATCAGTAGCTGCTGCCCTCACCTGCAAGTCATCCATTCCCTGAACAAAAAAAAAAGAAGTTAATTCAACTGAGCATTGACCAATCAAAAAAGACTTTTATTAAGACTACCTCAGATACACATTCATGCGAGAACTAGAACGTACCATTACTATTTCAAGAGCAGGTAAAATGCCTAGATTTGCCAGAGTTTTGAAGAACGCATCCCTGTTTTGAGGCTGCAACGTTTGTGAAAACGCACAGAATTCTTTGACGAAGTTCACCTAAGGAGAGGAGGAAAAAAGGAGATAGATAAATGACAATACAAATGAGAAATGCAAAGATCAAAATAATTAAACTGGTCCTAAATAAAAATCACTGTGCCTACCGCCATTTCTGGGCTCATTTCTCAAACATGGTTATGAAAGGCAACTACTTTTTGAGGTTTTAACATATGTCCAAAAAAACCAAGAACAAAAAAACTTCTTAAAACTTGCCAATTCTCTCCTTTTACTGTCCTCGGTCGCATCATCTGTGAGCTGTGCAAAGACCTCCGTTAGGAACTTCTCATCCTCCTGCGGCACATTTAAAGCCGGGTTAAAACATCAGAACAAAAAAGAAACATGTCTTAAAAATAAACAGAAAATCTAATCCTGACTTGCAATTTCCGCACAACAAGAATGGAAGGCAAATTATTCCAGCAATAAACCCATGACTCCTAGAACCGTACAGAAAATTAAAATCAGTCACCTGACTGTGAAATGAAAGAATTCTAAGGTCCTGTTTGTTTACACCATGAAAATAATTGTGTGGTATGAAAATTATTGTTCATAACATATGCCTCACATTTGCACCATATTACAATCCACATACAAGTGTTACAATGGGCCTAAACCTATTCACTCAAAGATTTTTGAAAATGTTTTAATGTATAGTTTTAATTGGTCATCATCACAGTACAAAACTTGACACACACATCTTCCGCATACATTATTTGTACAATCATTACAGGCTTATACATTTCCATCTGTTCACACTTATTATTTGAGGTTTCCCACTTGATTTAACATTTCACATGAGAATTAAATACATTTAAAGACAAAATTTAAATTTGGTTTTAAGCATGAGTCATCTTGGTGGACTAATCTACAAGCAGGGTCATTTGTCAAACAAATTTTAATTAGTCACAACATGTACAGCAATACTGTATATGTACTGGCTAAACTACACAGTAGATTAAATAATTAACTGATAATGTTGTTTTATAAATAGCTTGGTTTGAATCCTTACCTGCAACATACTGACAATTTCCACCTTGTTGAAGAAGATGAAGGAGGTGAGTGTGGATAGGAAGTTCTCCTCAAAGACAGATGGTGTGGGCAGGATTATGTCCTGGATGTACTGAACTCTGTATGTCTGGTGGATCTTCTGCCGCAGTTCAGAGTCTGTGATAGGGATCACCTCCTTAAATTTCGCCGTCTTGGTCAAGAATTCCCGGTGGCGTTTAGGTTGAACCAATGCTGGGTCGTACTCCAGGCAGCCCACCACATCCATGATACAGTCGTCAGAGAACATCACCTCAAAGAGGGCTGCTTTATTGAGAAATAAGACACCTCGGACAATCTCATAGAGGTGATGGAGGCCTTCCCTGTTGTCCACTTCCTCACATACTCTAAAGAGACCCAGGAGTTTCTTGATGTAGCCCTCAGTCATCAGGGCCAGGGCAAGCTTTTCCCTCCGGATGGGTGAAGAAAGGACAGAGGTAACCAAGTCGGCAATTTCCTCCAGTCTGCCTTGCTCGCAAGGGGGGAGCTCAACTAAGTGGCTTGTCTCTGGAATCTCCTCAAAGCGCTCTTCCTCAGACTCATCAATGGGGTCCTGGGTGATGTCCAGAGCAGGGTCTCTGCCTTGGACCTGAGTCACAAATAAAAGCTATTATTAAATGAACACAATTGATAGTATCATGTGTACAGTCACCTCTTTGCACAGGTTAATGTTTCTCAGTAATTTGTCCAGTACACAAACTATTAAATAGATCAACAGAGCTTGCCCATTGTGGTAGGCTCAATGGAATTTTAGCACCAGCGAAACTGCTGTATGTTCCTGGTTTGAGTTTTACCTGGCAAATTCTTTCCCAGATCTCATCACAGCCAGCCTTTTCCTGGAAACTGAGTGCAAGGTCATAGTTATCTGCTTCTGACCAGACAATCAATGTGTCCTGGAACAAAGACAAAGGATTATTAAACTTTACACACGGACACGCTTAACTCTTTCACGGGAGGCACTTACAGATACACACACACTTATTCAAGATACACTTCATTAAATTGTATGTTAACTGAACACATGCTTACAAATGTGTGCACACACACACACACACACACAGGCAGCAAATGAAAATGTCAACATTTAACTCCTGCAGACAGAGGATCTTGTGGCTCCGTTATGCCTTCTTGTACGTATTGCTGGCAGGATTTGGGTGCAAATCCTTAAAGTGTATCTGAAGAATAAAGCTTTCTATCCTGGTGGGAATGCACTCCTCTAGCATGACAGTGACTTATCCACAGAGTATGAAAATGATTTGAACAAAAGTCTACAACAGACAAAGCAAGCTAAACACATGCAGAATATCTTTTTTGTACCTAGCTTCACCAAGGTGGTTATCAACTCTAAGTCAAACGAGGGTTTTTCGATCTAGCTATGACCACATTCACACGAAAGAGGCAGCAATGGCAGCATGACCAACCAGAAACATGAACCGGCCTATTAGCAGCTGAGGGGCATAGTTTATGAATACTATCATGCTATAAAATTAGCATTATATAACATGAAGTAGGTAAACAGATAATACAGACTCGCTGCAAGACAACTGCTGTAGCCAAAACAGCAGTGTCAGTCTGTGTGAGAAGAAAAGCGCTGTGTAATTTTAAAGTATTGTTATATATGTCTTAAAGTAATAATGATTAAAGTAAATAGTAAAGTGTGTACAAATTCTGATAATTTAAGGCAACAAACTTAATGTCAAAGATCTGGGAAGACCTCATTACTATATTGCAATAAAAAGAAGCTAATGACGTTTAGATTTGCCGCTTCTTTCACTCAGTCTCCGCAATTTGAAATAGTCTAAGGGCAAGTAGAGACAAAATTTAACAAAATAAAAGATTTCAAACTGGTAAGCAGCCAATTTGCAAATGTTTCATGACGTCAGAAACAAAAAGGTTTAAATTGCCTGTTTTAGTATCATTTCAATGTATTACAGCCTATACAACAATAAAGTTGCTTTAATATTGTTTGCAGTCAACAGGAAAGAAGTAAGTTGCCCCCAAGAATCTCTATTTCTTACCGATGCTAATCTGAGACAAACTTCCGATTCTCTTAATATCTGCACACTAAGTTCTAATTGATCTTTATGCATTATTTCATAGAAATAATTGTTCCATGGGACGTGATTTCAAACATGTTGATCTCTTGTCTCAAACATGCCCCATTCCTGAGGAGATTAGGCGAGGAGTGTAAATTACCACAGTAATGTACCCCATAAGAAGTATAGAAGTAAAGTATAGTAAGTACCAGCTCCAAAACACTGGAAATCCAGGATTAAACCTGAAGTTAGCCAGACCCTAATCATTAATAATGCTATAAATTTTTAGGTAATATAAAAGTGTCATATCACAATGACAGTGATACATAAAAAAAACATGCAACACAACAACAAAACATGTCTCAACATGTCTGAGAACAAGAGCTGCTGTCAGCCTCCAATACCTAAAAAAGGAAGTTATTCAACAACCTTCAACAAAGAGCAGTCATTTTAAAGACATGCAAAAATATTTAGAAAAAGGTGTAAAATATTTTTCTTTATTTAGGAACTTGCAGCTCCTGAAGAGTTACAAGGTTAAGGTTAAGTTGAATTAGTTAAATGTTTCATCAATTACAGCAGCTCACTGTTAAAGGAGGGTGGAAATTGACTTCCAGACACTTAGCTATAAATGTGGGAAGACTTCTTCTTTATGCCATAATTCTAATGACACCTTGATTTACAAACAGGTGTGGTGCATATGTGGTAATTACTCACGGCATTACCCGATTATTACTCGATACCAAGTTTACAATTGCACCAGTCAGCCAATTTCTACTGTCTCGCCTAGATTACATTAACTATCCAGCAGCAGATCTCAAACCAGTGTTGGGATTATTTAAATACGTGTGCTATCTGTAGCTGAGCCAGACTCAGGTAATAATAAAAACTTACCTGTTGTTTTTGATATGCAGTATTTGGACTTATCTTCGATTCCAATAGCAGTGATCCTAAAGCACAGAGATATAGGTGACTAAATATTCAAGACAGTTAGAAAGCCGGTTCTTTAAAGACGAGGTTTGTTATTCTGCCTGGGAATAAACAGTTATGGCTATGCAAATACACACAAAAACAATCGAATTAAACTAAAATGCTTAAAAACAAAGGTAAAATAACTACAGCAGACCTTAGATTCAATTGTAATAACGTTATGTACTTTCTTTGTCGCATACATGAACCACAAAGAGCAATAACAAGTTTATACGTTCAGACTTTCAGGGGCACCATGCTACCGAGATCCCGTCGGACCAAACTAATAAGCATGCTAGCAACAGCTATTCAATAAATATTTGCCATTTATTGAGAGACGTGCCTAATATTAACAGTTCTGGCACTATGACGGCGAAGTCTGCCCCACATGTAGAAAAAAAGTCTAATAAGGTAATCTGGTGGCCACTGTGGGCAATCGAAGCGCTCTCTCCGAACAACCAGGAGGTAGCATGCTAACCACCGTAACAGCTATGCTAACAGGGAACTTACCGTCCGATTCAGCCCGAACTAATAACGATATCCCCCTCAGTCGTTCGACAAATGTAGACGAAACGTGCCCGGTACCCCGATCATCCCATTGCCGATCTTCATTCAGCGTATATACCTTCACTCGCCGCCGAGTGTCCGACATGGTTTAAACGAGTCGGAGCTAGCAGGCTAGCTTTCTGCTAACAAGCTATCACCTCACCCGTCTAGTGTTTTCCTCGACCTGTTAACTTTGTTTCCAACCGCATGTTATAAAACATGCATGTTTAAATTTAGTTCCCAATAGCAGCAAAATATATTAGTAGGTATTTCATAAACATATTACGACGTGAATCTACTTATTAAGGGGCCTAATATTAAACTGTAAAATTCTGAGAGAACACAACAACTCTAACGGCCTTCTTGCTAACGTCCACAGACCGCCATCTTGTAATCCGATCTTGTGTTCTTTTTCTTTTTCTACGTCAATCAAGCGCTAACTGCCGCGGGGTCTCCTCCTCCGGGCTGCATCGTCCAATGGCAGAACTGCGGCTCCTCCAGCTCACCGCGTCACCATCGGCGGAGAAAGGTAATAGCACCCACAGCCGTTTGCAGATGTTGGCATGATGTACAGATGTGATTTTGTTCAGCTTGTTTAATTCATAGAGGATGCAGATACTTAATCAAGCAGAAGATTAACAGCGTTTTTCACGTTAATTAATCACAATCATAACTGACAAGTTTTTTTTTTTACACAAACGAGGAATTTGTCTTGGAAAAAGCAACACTTCAAGCCATCATCTACAGAGAAAGAAAGGGATAAAAGCTTGATGGGTATATTTGGCATAAATTACTAGACTTCTTGGAAAATATTCCTCAGACAAAAGATTAACTTTTTGGTAAGTAAAACTAACATTTAACTAAAAGAATATCAAAGCAACAGCCAAACATGGTGACGGTAGTGTGATGGTCTGGGGCTGGTTTGCTGCTTTATGCAGCTGATGGAACCGTGAAGTCTGTCCTCTACCAGAAAATCATGAAGGAGAATGTCCAGCCATCTGAAATTTTAGCAGACTTGGGTTATGCGGCAAGACAATGATCCAAAACACGAAAACTTCACTGAATGTCTCAACAACAAAAAAAAAAAAACGAAAACAAAACAAAGGTTTGGGATTGGTCTATTCAAAGTTGGGACCTAAATTAGACACATGACCTTAAACAGGCCGTTCATGTTCAAAAACCTCCCAACATGACTGAATTCAAACTATTCTGCAGAGAAAAGTGAGCCACAGAGGATCATCTGCCTCCATCTCAGTCCATCCTCCTCTATCACACCAACCTTCCTCTGCATCCATGAATCTTCTCGGAGGTTATCCTCTTGTCCTCCTGTCTGGCAAGCTTGGTCTTCAACATCCTTTGTCCAATATATCCACAAATTACCTCGACACTAACTCCACCCTGCCTACTGTCTTGAGCGCTGTCTGTTGTTTTGGATGGTAGCCCCGAGGTATTTAAGTCATACACATGTATTCTGTCTTGCTTCTACTGACTTTCATTCCTCCTCCCTCCAGATCTGTAGGCCCTTCCTGATGCAACCCTACACATTACTACTAACACTCTTAGATTAAGGCTGAACAGAGAAACACTTAATTCTTCTGTAAGACTCCAAAGAATTATTAGATCTTTTCCTGTCCAATATTATGCAATAAATTGTTTTAAATAAATGTTGAAATGTTACAGCTCTCCTGTTATCATCTCCACCATTCAGTTTCTTTTAAGGACCCACTGGATGAACCTTTTCTATTGTGAAGCAACTGTCTTTTTTTAAACACGCTGAAGCAGTACTTGTGTGCCTGCATGTAGCCACTGAAACATGCAATTAAATCAGCTTTTTATGAAGAAAATTTCACATGCATGCACTCAGTACATTCTGGCATGGTCGGAAGGTGTTTTGTTGACTTAAAGACATGAATAAAGAAATCATTAATGACTTTATTTACATATTACGTCTACATACTGCTACTCCTTTTAGTTGGGTTTGTAAACTCTCATTTACAAACCTTTCCTTCTCTCCTGCTGCCTCCCTCTTTCCTCTTTCTTTGTCCTTGCACAGCAGTTTCCACCAGCACCCTGCTGGTCAACAGCACCATTGGTAGTCGTTCATTCTTGATGATCCACATATTTGATTTGAAGATTTTACATCTGATCCCCTTCTTGACCTATTTATCCATGGTTGGTAACAGCACTAGGAGTACACTGGCATGTGGCCCACCTGTGGCTGTTTTTTTTATTTACATTTTAGTTACTCACATATAATATAAATGCGACACCATATAAAGATTAAGAAAACGCCTCTCTCTAACACATCACCCACTTGCCTTTCTTTTCTTTAGTGGACACGCTGCTACAACAGATACCAAATATGCCTCAAGAGGCAACATTATCACACATGTGAATGACAGAAGCACTGTTGTTGTGTAATGAAAGAAAAATCTTATGACTTTGATACAGTCAAACAACAGAGCATGAAAATGGGTAGACACTTGTATTTTTGAAAATGTTTGCCTCCTCGTCTTATCCGTTTGTTTGTG